GCACCTCATCTTAGGTTAAATAAACTGGGTAACCACACACACAGACAAACCAAGACTTTCATGCATTCTCACAAATTTATGTGGTTTCACTGCATGGGAGGTGCTGCTGACAAAGTAGATTAGGGAAAGTTGTGGGACTCCAAGATCTGTTTCTCCCACGCCCTGGACAGGGCTGCTTGCTAATGCCCGTGTCACCCTGCACTAACACATCCCTCCCCACGGTGGCAAGGCAGTTCACTGATGCTGTTCCTGTTCCCCATGTTTTAATCATTTGCTGCTGGTTGTCACCTCCAGAGGCTCAGATCCCCCCAACTTTAGAACGGAACAGAGGCAGCYGGGTTGGGAGCAATGTCACCTCACACTCAGCAGGCAGGTGCAAGAGGTGCCAAGGGAGAAGCAGCAGCAGCTGCTGAACTCTCTCTCACTGGAGATGCYTCTCATTCTCTGTCAGAGGCAGAAGCAGCCCGTGGTAACCACACTTCTGACTTAGGCATCCCTGAAGAAGGATGAGGTTCTCTAATGCAGAGTTACCTATTTTGTTCATGCTGAATCATCTTCTGTCCCTTCTTACACCAAACAATCTGTGCACCTGTGGGCTGCACCTCCTGTTGCCTTATCCCCACTGCTACACCCTCCTGCACTCTGCAGGAAATTTACAGATGTATCAATGTTTCTAAAGAGTGAAACGACCCTTAAATAAAATAAACGTTGGGAATTAATAGGGAAACTGTTGTCTTTTTGCTGCTGAAAAACAAGGAAATCCCTGTTGGGGTGTTCTATTAAAATAGCCCGAAAATAAATTATGTGCTGCTCTTATGGCGACAGTCATGCAGAATAATATTATTATTATTATTATTATAAATTATTATACAGTTAATCAAAGTAATTTTGTTATTTGACTTTCAGGAGCTTATCATACAAAGGCAGAAGGGCAGTGACCTGATGTCACACATGAAATATAAAGACACATAAACTGTCTAACCATCCACTTCACTATCCATGGAGAATAAAATCATTTTTATGCAAATAGAATCTGAGTCCAAAATGCCTTTTTCCTTCACCTCCTTTCTACTTCATTATTAAATAAATCATAAAGATGTCACTGGAGACCACACAGAAAGAAGTCTCAAAGAGCAGAAATAAGAGGTTTCTGCATTTGTCTAGTTTTAATTTCAAAAGGTATTCTGAATTTAAAAAAGAAAGATTGGGGGAAAAGCATAGTGCTCTTCACATATCTGATTTCCMAGGAGTACAAACAACCTCTATGTCTTCTTGAACAATACAACAAATTTCAAAAACCAAACACAAATAAATAAAAATGAAACTATGATCCACAAACTTAATTGAGATTCACAGTGTCCAATGCTTTTWAAATTCAAATTACTACCAGACAGTGAATCTTTTTGCCTAATTTAAGCAAACCAAGTGTAGATGATAACTCCTGCCCTCTCCCTTTTTAATGTGTTTAATGGAGAGATATTCTTCTGTCATAGTGCTGGAAGTTCTGCACATAAAAGCTGAATAATTATTTGTCATTTTTCATAGATGTTTCATATCCTGTACAAGGCTGCGAGCACAGTGCAGAAAGTGAGCAGGGAAAACCAAGCATTTTTGTATTGGCGAATAGATCAAAATTGAATTTGTCTGTTGTTTGAGCAAATACCTGAAGGTAAATAACCAGAGGTGTTTTGTGTCAGGAGTTTTTGCTCTTCAGTAAATAACATTAAATATCCCAGTCCTAACACAGAATTCTCTGTAGATCAGTCATATCACACTGCAAATTGAACACACATGTATGTCTTACCTAAGAGGGGTGAAAATTTGGAGCTGGAAGAATTAAATCATGGATATTGTCTAGCCAAAAAAAAAAAAAAAGGGGTAACTCCAGAAAATATGTTATCGTTTAAATTACAGTTTGTATTTGGGACAACTTCACTTGCTAGTGAAGTTCTTAGTCCTTGATCTTGTGGGTATTTCAGCTCTTAATGTGATCTAYGGACAAAAAGCCTTTGTCTAAATTGGTTGGGATTCCTGCAGATGCTGCATTTCAAGGCCATGACTGGTACTCCATGCTCACTGGGAATTGGGAGAGATAGCTTTGAATGCCTATGGTGGGACCTGAAGGGGAGTTAGGATGTGCTGAGTGAGCTGGGATGTGAGGGGACACTTTCTACTCTCCATGGGGACCTCGGAAGAGCAGGGCTCAAGCCATCCACTCAAAGCAGCACCAGTGATTTGCTTGCACAGGTAATCCTGGCAGCAGGATTATTCAGTGGATTTGTTTTCCTGACCTTTACCCCTCTGACAGCAAGAATTACCCTCCAGCCCTGCCTCCCCTAACTTGTTGGACAGAACAAGCTTGGTGTTCTTCACATCTGTCAACCAACAGGTTCTCCATCCTGCTGGTCACCTGAACAGCAACTGAAAATAAGCCCATGTATCTGAAAAAGTAAATATCTCTTMATTTTCAACCAGGGAGATGCAATGTTTAACCATGCAGGAGTAAGCTGAAGGGTGGCATTTGTGAGGAGGAAGAAATGTTTTAGGCAGCTCGTATTGTGAACTAGCATGATGTTTTTGGATGGGAAGAAAGGGAAAAAAATCCTTTAAAGCTATGTAGGAACATCACCAGATACACTATTTGAACTGTTAGTTAATGGTAAAATGAAATATTTCCTACCCAKGAAAGTACAAAGCATGTATTGAATCAGTTTCCAAAGATGATGTAGTATGATAAGAAATGCCAAAAGTGTTATGCAGAATGCTAACTCCTGTGAGAAAATAAGAAGAGTGCTTCACCAGTGTTGTCATCRCATGAACTAGTCATTATCACTATGTTCCATGAAAAAGCTCTGTTTCCACAGCACTTTTCCATTATATAGCTTAATTAGAGAAAAGGAATACAGTGGTGTAAAGAATATCATCTGGGGGTTTAAAAAAATAAGGGAATATAGCATTTCAGAGTGGATTGTGTAAAACCACATGCAGGAAAAATACAAAGTTGAAGTTCAYATACTTGAAAATGATCACTGCCACACAACAGCAGCCATTTTCTTTGTAACATAGACACATCTCAGCTCAGATCCACAAATCTGACCGCAGCATTATCTCACAGCATCACTCTCCCTTGGTYACTCTGCTTTTTCTATTCTTCTGCATTTCTGCTTTTTGAGTTTTTGTAACCCTTCCCCTGTCTCCAGTCCAGTGGCAATCCCATGCTCAGCTGCTTCCCCTGCTTCTTCCTCCCACATCAGCAGAACCATGTGCTACTCTTCTAGACATCMTCCTCCTCCCAAAATGTCAGTGTCACCTGTGATCTGGGAAAATACTGAGACGCAGCACTCCCAAATTCACACGCCAGCAGGAACTGACATATTTCCTATGTGCCTGTTTTTATTCCTGGTACTCAAYGAAGAAAGCTGGGTACCAGACTGCTGCTGTTTTTCAGACAGCTGCCCACATCAAATGCAAGTTTTGTTCCTTTGCTTATTGTTAGTAAATTAGAGCTGAGGAAAGCAGACGGCACTTAGGGAAGCTCCAAGGAAATTAATCAAGTACAGAATTTACCTGCCTATGGTGAGTTAGGCTGCCTGGTCATCAGTGATGATGATAAGAAAAAACAGCAGCAATAAATTTTGCTGTGACTTTACATTTTGCCAGCTCATTTGGAATATACTTAAGAAGCAAATATCAAAGCAGATTTGATAATTTTAAAGCACTTTTGTTTTTAATTGCACTCAAATATTCTCAAAGCAAACCATGACTTGAAAAACAGCAATTGAAATTTGGTGGTCAAATGCTGCTTTTGTTAAGAAAGTCAATGAATTCAGCCACCACATTCACATGTCACTGATTGAAACCTCTAGCAGAAGATAAGTGCCTCTTTTGGCATATCTCMTAAGTTTTTGCTTGGCACAGGATTCGTTATCACCCCTATGGCTGCTTATTAATGCTATACAGTCATCTCTAAATGACCTAAAGAAAATAGCATGAAATACTACCCATTTGTGCTTTCTCTCAAACACACACATAATCTCCTCTCATCACACACATACAGGTAATTGCTTTGTTAAAACATGCATCTGGAAACTGTAAATTGTGATGGTTCAATTTAGAGAGTGCTGCTCATGGGGCTGCTCACCAGACACGAGCAGGAGCTGGTATAGTGTGCAAATCCTTGCACAGCTCACTCAACTCTGTTCCTTGTATCTTTGGCCCATGTGGTGTTTGTATACATATGCTGAAGGAGGATTACTCAAATTCATGTTGTGCCAACTCTCAATATTGTAACTTTAAGGAAAACATCCTCCTGTACTCAACACACCAATATCTGTTACCCCATCATTCGGCCAAGCRGCTAACACTGAACTGGAGTGTATTATTTTCATGCTCTCTTTTAATCAAGTCTCAAGAATCCTTGGAGCAAACCCTCTGGCACAGATCTGAACCCAGGAAATCCCACTGCTTACTGAGAGGCAACCAAACACACAAGAAGGCTCCAGGTGAGTGCATAACTTTGTGTTCACACGGGGAAGCACTGCAGTTGTAGCCACAGAGCTGCAGAAGGCAGAGCCAAGCCATAGCAGCTCAACCAGCCTTGGGAGGACAGCACATACACACTCAGCAGGTGATGAGAGTAATCTCACACACGGGACTTCTCTGCCACTAACACATGCAAATATCTGATGAGCAGAGACATCGCCAGCCTCTCCAACAGCTCCTGTGTATGAGTAACTTGGGTAACAGCTGGCACAAGCGAGGTGCACTGGCAGGTAAGCACAAGCAACCATCAGCATGCTGCTCTGAGTCTACAGAGTCAGCCTGTCACATATTGAAACCATCCAAAAATCCAGTGGATTTGTCAAAATGACAATTTGTGCTGTTTCTATATTTTTGAAATAATKCTTATTCTTTAGCATGCAGAGGAAAATGAAGTCCCATTTTCCTTAACAATTGCTGTTCRTATCACAGCTCTCTGGGGTGACTTTGGAAGCACTGACCTTGGATGTCGCTGCAGTGGCATTACTTTCCTTACCACTCCCTGGTGCACTCTCCTCGATTGCTGCTGCTGTCGGGGCTTCTGCCTTCTTTGCACTTGTTTCCAGAGAAACAGGAGTCCCTACTTTCCCCAGCCCACTCACCGGGGTTGAGCTTGGGCTGCTTGGTTGCCGTGACTGGGATTTATACCAGCTAGGGTAAAACAAGGGATCGATGGCTCCTGCTGTGGCCGGCACTTGAGTGTCAGACTCGGGGGTCTGCTGAGAGCCACTTGGTGTCACAACCACATCCTTAATCAGGACAGATAAAGAGAAGAACAAGCAGAGTGTACCACGTTACCTTCCTGCTGTAGTCACATTGTTCTGCATGTTGTGTTTGTTATAGATCACTGCAAGGCATAAATTTGTCCTACTACATGATCTGAAAGAATTGCTATCAAAATGCAACGCAAAAGCAGCTATCACTTGAATAACACAGGCAAGAGAAAAAAAAATCAACCCAGAAATAGAACAGGAGAGGGTAGAACTAGCTGGGAAGGGAGTGCTGACTGAGAGAGAAGTGTGCAAGGGGTTCCTTAATTCAGATAAACCCTCAATTCAATTCTAAAAACTTAAGAAATTCTGCATAAGACCCTCATGAACCCACAGCAGCCATGAATGACAGATGTAGGTACCTTCACATGGCTTGTTGAATTTTGGTTAAGAACAACATGATTGCCAATGAGTCTGTTGATGTGAGCACTCAGAACAAGAGAAGCATTTGCCAAYCAGCCTTGCCATCAATGCTACAAGCCAAGCACTGTTACTCTGCCAGGCAGAGGAAGCTGCACCTCTCCACCTGCATCAAGCTCTCGGGGTTCCTACACACACAAACTGCTATCACCACAGCATTTCTGCTTTGCCTTTTTACACCTGAAGGCAAAAACTGAAATACAGGTATCCCCCACACCACAACACCCACATGCCTTCATGACTGATTATTTCCTAATGGCATTTTGCAATTGCTAGAGCAGCATGCTGTACTTTTCTCACTTTAGCCTTAGAAATTAGAGAATTCATGTTAGTGGGAAGAATTGCTTATGTCTTGTTCTCATTTGCATAAAACCCTTCATCAGTTAAGGAACACAAATTTAGTTAAATCAGTGCAAATCTCCAAAAGACAAATTCTGATTAAATCAGTAAAGCCTAATTTAAGACCATCTTCACATAACTGGTGAAAACTCAAACATGTTTTTAAATCAAAGCAAGAATGAATCTACAGCATTTATTTTCACCTGTTTTATGTGGGGAGCTTGTTACAAAGATGCTTTGTGTGCTTTGTTTTCACATAAGCCTCCTCAAATATATTCACAGCAGCCTTTACCACCTCAGCAACTTCACTGAGKAAATTGTGTAAGGGAATTTGCTAAGTAAATGGTATGCAAGGCAAACTAATTTAGCACATGAAGTACGTTTTTAAATGTACGTCTTTTAGAACACGCAGCAATTATAGAGTCATTCTAATCACATTCCCTAAGAAAAGTGTTGGCCTAAAATATTCACAATAYTCACACCCTTAACCTGTTTGGTGTTAGATGGTAAAAGGAAGTTTCCTGTTTGGTGTATGATATTCCTGCATCTACCTAGACATACCCTAAAGATGATCAGAGCAGAAGGCAGCAGGCAGCATTTGCAGAAAAGAGATTAGAAGTATAATCAAAAAATTGGTGGTGGAAAGCTCACTAAATCCAGAGAGAATGCCAAATTCTCTTAGTATAAATATTTTAACAATCTTCTCATTTATATCAGTTAGTCTGAGTTAAATCACAGCAGGCAGAACATTCATAGTAATGCGTTTAACTCCCAAACGGAGTCTCTTTTATTTATAACTTATATATCCCATACGTATCTTAATTCATCTGGCAGCTAAGTTTTTGCTTATCAAGTGATACATGCACAGGTCAAGAGGGCAGGGTAAAGTTCTATATTTGTGTACAAGAGCAATAAATATTTTGCTCTCCAGTGTATCTGCTCCTTCAGCTCCTTATTGATGGTGCCCACAAGGGAGCATTTTGTGGCTCTGCCACAAAAGGTGCATCAGCAGAGCTGGCAGGACAGTGGGGCAGCAGAGACATTTACCTGACCAGCTGGAGCAGCCAGCACGGGCACCGCAGTGGGTTCAGCCGGGGGCTCTCCCCCTGCACTCTGTGCTTCAGAATCCTGCTGAAGGGGCTGTGGTGCTCTCTCCGCCCCTTCCTCTTCCCCCTCTTCTTCCTCTTCCTCCTCTCCTGAYGATTCTGTGTGCACTTCATCCAAGCCTTCGCCATCATCTGTCTCCTCCTCTTCCTCCTCCTCTGACAGGACACATGAAAAAGGACAGGGCTGAGCACCATGTGACAATGGCTTCAGTCTCTATGTGATTAAAAAGCCATTTGCGTTTGCATGGCAAAGTCAGTGATAATCTGCTCCCTGGCTGAGGGTGTTTGTGAGGAGCCTGCTCCCACCAGCCTGGATGGGCACTGCCATGGAGCTGCCAGCAGGAGYTTTGGGGCAGGGAAGACCCTGAACACTGATACTGGTTAAAATATTAAGCTGGCCCTTTCCATGGGAAGGAGGACAGAAAGTCCTGTCAATGCTTTTATCCTCGTGAGGATAGCTGGGATCTGGCACAATCTGCCACGAACAAGGTCCTTCTTCCARTTCTTGTTTCAGTTAGGACTTGTTTTAATTGAATTTAATTGAATTAATTGTTTTAATTGAATTTTTGAATTGTATTTGTTTTAATTGAAGCCATCATCATCATTCTTTACCAAGCCAGTGCTTTGCAATGCACGACTGGGGGTTTGAGATAACAACATCCCTATTGACCATCCAACTTGGTCAATACTCTGCTTTTGTGCCATCTGACATATTCTGTGGCCTGTAGTTGTGGCTCAGGTTTTTTTTTCCAGAGGGAGGCCTCAAGCACTGGGTTTTCTTTTATATAATCACAGTAGTTATTCTAAAATATGTTGGATGTTATTCAGAGCCATCCCACAACTTCAGAGAAATAAACTTAGATTTGCATGTAATTGATACATAATGCTCTGGCTACATTTTGGGATAGAGAGAAATATCTAATTCAAGGTTTCCAACTCAGTATTATCATATAAACCACACTTAGCTGCTATATAAGAAAAAAATTTTGGTGAAATAAATTACATACCTCTGTCAAAATCAATTTCTCTTATTATTTTTTCTTCTCTACTGAGGTTCACTGTGAATTGGTTCATATTTTCATACCCATCCTCTATTTTTTCCATTTGAAATCCTTTAGAAGCTTCAGTAATTCTAAAACATTGATTGGTTATTGGCATTTGGATTTGAAGATAAATGTATAAATTGTAAGTGATTATAAAGAAGAGGAGTCTCAAGTTTAAATACTTACTTTTGTAGCAATGTTTTGGCATTCTGTGGAAACAAAAAAGAAATAACTTCTTAAATGATTCAAATTTTTCAGAGATTTTATGCATTGAGAAATCATTCTTACATGAGCAGCTTCTAAAACCATTAATAAGGATTTCATAAGTGACAGCCATGACATCTATTAATGAGATGAAATTTGGATGGTAATTARTATACGGCTGAATAAACCTTTCAGYTCATCGAAGATGTTTTAATTAAAATGTGAATGTGATGGAAAATAAGCACAGTTGTTAAAAAACCTAAATGGAAATATTTTTCCTCTTTCTTTTGGTTGTGTTTGTGGTGAAAAACATTTGGTCTTTAGTCACAGTGTAATTACACCTTTGTCTATCCATAAAGGCCATCCTTTTGGARAGACAAAATTCTGTTTGTCTCAGAAGAATGTAGTACTCTTCAAAGGCAATTCTTTGGTGAAAGTAAGTGGGAGTTGTTTTATTTTGTTTTTATTTGTTAGTGGTTTGTTTTGTTTTTATTTTGGATTTTTGGTATWTTTGTTTGGGTAGAAAATGCCCTTCCAGCCTTTAATATAGAGGATTTCTCAACTTGCAAGACAGAAATGCTGCACCAATGAATTAACTGGACAAGCTACTAATGGTTCTCTACTCATTTCTCTTAAGTTTATAGTAAAAAAACAAAAGGAAAAAAATAAGTAAAGGCATAAAAGTGTAACTTAGCACATAAATTATTGAAAAGCTAATAATCATTGTGTCAATATGCAAGTGAAAGCTGTAATTCTCGAAGTTCATGTACACATTAACATATTGCCCCACCATGACATTGGTGGGAAAATAAAAATTATCTGGAAAATATTTAAATTCCTGTTTCTTCTGTGGGGACCAGAAGTTCATACTCAGGTAGTATATTTTGGTGCAAATAGCAAGTACTCATGTTCTTGATTTGGATACTACTCASAAGAAGAGTAGTTATTTGTCTGAGCTGATTCAAGTGTTTAAAAAATGAGTTTGAATAAATGTTCACTTGWATATAASCAAACTCTGAATGGGCTTGCACTTGAGAAATCTTACATAATATATCAATAAACCCATCATTCTTTTTCTATCTCTATTTATAGACTTTATACCTGCAAAAACACAGCCATTTCTGGTTCTTCCATGAACTGGATTCCTGATTCAACCAGTTTTGACACAGCTTCCAAGTGATCCGCATATTTCTTCATCAGGGAGCGGACGTGTTCCAGTTTCTCCTCTTGGGTTCTAGTGATTATTTGTGTCATCTCATTTTTTCTTTCTTCCAGTACAGAATAGAGATAATCAAATTTTTCACACAACTGTTCTTTCTGTCGTCTGCAGCATTCCTGTGAATCATTTGGTTTATGTTAAACATGTTATGTTCTTAAAAGGGTTTCTATTTTTACAGTTACTTGGAAGCGTTTTCATCAAAGAAATTCCTCTTTCTGAACAGTGCAAAGGATTCTGAATGACCCCAGAGACTTTTATAATTTTCAAAGTCCAAGCTGTTGGAACAAAAGTTTAAAAACTCTTCTTAAACTCTGAGTTTCAAGCCACTGAAAGCCCCCAAACAGGTTATTGTATAACTTGTGAGTCTGCTAAAAAAAGTAAAAAGGTATTTATGATGTCTGTAGTGATACATCAAAGYCTGCAGAAAAAGTGAAAGCCCCCACCGTATTAGCAGCTGGGTTCATTTGCGTGAACAGAATGGTTTTAAAAGGAGTGAGCRTCTCAAACAGCTCTGGAGAATTTTCTTTTTCTACCTGAGTACCTGGAACAATCCTGGCTGGGCTTGATTTTCACATATGCCCTCTTAGACTGTATTTGGACAAGAGGTGTCCATTATGTTCCATTTACTGTGCACTGAATGAGGTAGAGGTTCTGCAGGGAAAATGATGTGTGACAGAAGAACAAAGATAAGAAGGAGGAATCAGATTYCAGCCGTATGTTCAGGCACTGATTTTCACATCATTTTTTTGAGACACTTCTATTGTCCTTCCAACCAGACAACAGCATCTTTCCCTGAGTACGGARCATAGGTTTGATAACTGCTGCATTGAGCGCTCTCTAAAAGGAACAAACTGCACTTGTAAAGGAGGATTTATGGGGAGGAAATGGGAGACAGATTATATATAATGTCTGAGGTCTACCAAATAGAAGTACTTGAGTCATCTGTGTGCCCCAGGGCATAACCTTATTGTGGTTAGACCTGGTTGTGGATGGTGGTGATTATTTAAATCTCTTTCCTAGGAACTGCGGCGGAATCGATTTTTCATCTTTGTCCCTTGAGGCATAATGCTGAGATCCTGGCGGCACAAGATTATTAACAGTCCCACAGTACTTTTGGAAAGGATAAGACTGATTATTCACAGCACTTGGCCAGAGAGAATCCCACTTTTTTTCTTGACTTTCAGCCCGAGCTCATTCCTGTGAGTGGTAATAGTCTGCTCTGTATCATTCAAAGGGGAAAGCCTTTCAAAGACGTACATTTGGCTAAAAATCACTGTCTTGGAGAAGGGATTGAATGCACATCTTGATGCATTGACCCAAGTATCCACCTCTGTTTCCCAATGAGGAAGGCTAGGCTAAACTGGCATTCCTAATTTAAATCTCCTTGCAGGGGGTGCAGGCTTGTCCTGCCTTTCTAGGAGTCCTTGCCACTTCCCAGAAATTCCTATTAGTGCAATTACAGGGTGGGGTTAAGGGAGTTTTCAGATCAAGTGAGTCACAGTTTCTGGGTGTCCTTCTATGCTCAGACCTCAATCTTCTCTTATTCCACTCCTCTGCTAACTTTCTCCCTATGAAATGTCATTCAGATCACTTGTAAAACACCCTTAATTTCAAAACAGGTGTGTGCTATCTTTGTCATTTGACACAGGACAAATGTTAGGGGAAGAAGAGCAAGCAAGTGATAGCAGTGTGCCCTGAGAGATCCTTCCCTATCTTTAAGCACCAATATATAATATTTCCTGCCAGCAGCTATTGCAGAGTTGTGAATCTCAAGAGTGAGAGTGCAAAACAGGTTTCTAAACTGCAAATGCTGAAATATTTCTGAAATAGTCTCTTTCTGCATAAAATGTTCCCATATGAAGTCTCTGCCTGATGGAATTACCCTAATCAGATTCTGTGTAATGAAAAAGGTTAACAAATACATGACTTTCCATTCTAAAAAGTTCTCAGCCTTTTTGTTTTTTAAAGCACGGCTACATCAAAAAGAAGGGAGTCATGAGTCTCACTGCTGGTTTCAAAGGACTGGCCTATGTTATTTGCATTTGAAAGAAACACTGTAGTTTTTCCTTTGTTATTAGATTTATTTACAGAGCTAAATAGAACTTAATTATATATTACAGTTTTCCAGTATTTAGCATTTTATATTCCTTTGTCAATTTTCAGTATCATATGTGAATTAGGTCTACCTTTCAATCAGTTAAAAGCTATACAAGTATTGATTTTTTTTTTATTTTTTGCTTTTCTGGTTTTTAGGGTTGGAGAGGAGCAGTAGCTACATGTAGAACTGCAGGCTATCTCTTATTACAGCTAAAAGCAGAATTATCCAGTATTTCTGCTAAAGCAGATATTTATTGCTCTCTGCAAAGTGTTAAACAGAAAGAAGAGACAATCCTGGATTGTAAATGTTATTTGCATGTACGAATAATTCTGAATTCCAGCTGTAGCTTCTCATCTTGTAGGACAAACTGATGTTTRATTCAGACAAAGCTCTTTCGTAGAAGGAAATGTGATTTGCTTGAAATATAACATGGAAGTGCCAAGGTAAACTTTAAGATCTATTTTCTGCAATCTTTGACTTTAAAGGTGAAAAGCCTGATAAAACATCTGAAGGTAAAATGGCTGCACTTTTTTGGGCTTTGACTTTAAAGGTTAAATTTTTAACTGAGTGGATGACTCTGAGGAAGCTAGTTTCAGAAACTGTTGTATTTTTTAAGGTATTTTTAACACAGTGTTTTTTCCTTACTTCAGACTAGGTGTTTGAAAATTTGTGTCTGGTTCAGCTAGTTCAATGTAAACAAGTGTAAGCTTTTGCTTTTGTRTAATTCAAATTTCTGCAGTTAAGCTACTTGAAAGGCTTGTTTCTGTCTGCAAAGTCCTGATAGCAGCCAATTTCATCCTTGCAGTGTGAAGGCTTCCYGATTACCAAGTTCTGACTGCCATTAAAGTATCTCTCATTTACTTGGGCCAATGGTTTTGTGTTCTTTGAAACAAACACAGACATTTTCTGCCCATTCTTGCTTGGATTTGTGTACATAGATTGTGTAGTTGTTTTTTCTTACTAATTAGAATCTATACATCTTGGATTAACTTCTTTTCCCCTATCATTTCTCTTTTCTGCTCCAGCTCTGAAGGGTCAATATAATTCTAATTGRGCTGAGAGGGATGCAACTCCTTCACTAGGTGCTTCATCAACCTCTGACCACAAAATCAATTSATACGAGCTCCTTTCAGTCTATTGCTCTGTGATGCTCAGACTGGTCAAAGTTGATGTTTATATTTGCGTTGCTGATGCAAAGCTCTCAGAGGAAATGAAAGCCACTTCTGCTATTGAATAACACAAAACTAATTCCAACTCTTTCAGAGTGTGGCCATTACCAGGAAGTTGAGTGAAAACCCAAACTCTTCCCTCCCATGAGCAACGAAAAAAGGCTCCTTAAAGGACGACACAAGTATATTAAAACATTAGTGTGCAGAGGGCAAAGCATTCAAATGCAGAGAAAATACTGACATAYCTGTGAATCATACTGTGCCTACCCTGTGGCTGAGACTAGGGCTCTGTTCACCAGCCCTGTCAGACTTTAGACTAACATTAGTCTTCTACAGCTTTAGAATCYGATCTTAGATATTAAATGAGCTGGGAGTTGATGGCATTTTGGTGGATCTGCTTTTAGCTTCAGTGAGGTCCTATTCCACTAAGAATATTGAGGAAGACTTACTGATATGGATTATCCTTACTCTTTATCCTCCACCAGAGGATAGCATRTGTCAGAGGTGCTGAGCTGAGATTGTATCCTTTGGTTGAGGCAGTACATCTTGATAATGTACAAAGCCATGAAGAAAATGGTTTAGGGAAATGATGTGGGAAGACATTTGAGTAAAGTGAGGTCTGTTAAAGAATGACCATTACCAGAAATTTAAAAGATGTGATGTCACACTGAAATAACTGCATTTAAAGAGGTGATACCTACCTCAACCGTCTTGCAGGTCTCCTCCAGCTGCGTGACAATCCCTTGCATCCTGTCATTGCTCCCCACCAGGACTGCAATGCCATCACTCAGCTCAGACTAGGCAGTAAGGGAGAGCAAGCACAAGAGTGTTAGGTGCTGTCACATTTCAGGGTGACACATCTAACAGTGGGGAGCAGGAGACTAATAAGCCATATCCAGGATATTATTTTGTCTTTCCACCAGAACTGAGGAAAAATTGGAGCTTTATGTGCCCATAAGATGCTTGTACTTTGACATTTGTTTTCTCTCACAACACACTATGAAAACATTGATATGTTGGAACTTTTAATGGAAAAGAAATTGTGGTTTGGAAAAAATGAAGCACTTTGCTCTAGGAGATTCTTCTACTTGCTTTTGTTTGAAGTGCTCTTTCAACAGGTTCAAAATACTTCCTTTGGGTTTGCTGAGAGAAAAGACTTTGTCTCTTGAGTGATTGYTTTTTCAGTGTCTGTGTCTAGCCATAGCACTGTGGTATTTTCCTGAGGGCTCTTGGCCTTGGAACGGAGAAGAGGTGGCCCACCAACCTGGAGGGACTGAGGTGCTACAGAGTCCCTGGCATGCAGGTAGAGGGGTTGGAGTTGTGGTGACAGGGGACAGGAGGAAAAGAGAAGGTGGAGGCTGAGCCACTGGCATGAGGGAAATGAGTGGAGGGGGAAAATAACCTGAGGTGGGGATGGAGATGATTGTGAGGTATCCCTGAGASAGACAAAGGAGCCAGTCCTAGGGAACTTGGGGAGGGTGCTGGGGAGTGCAAGGGGCCCTTGGCACACTGYTGGAGTAACAGAGACAGATGTGTTCATGGCCTCCACAGCTCTGTGYGGGATCCTTTGAGGCATTCACAGCTCTCTAAGGGATCCTATGAAGCATGCATCCTGCAGTCTCCAGGTTACACCTCCTGTCTTGGGCATGACAGCCCCTTTCCATGGGCACTCTGGGAAGGAAAACAGCTTGCAAATCTCTGTGCTGAGTGACTGGGGGCATGGATTCAGTCCAAGAAACTTCTTCTCCTTCTCCCACCTTTTTTTGATTGAAAAGGATGTTTGTAACTACTTTCCTACAGCAACTCCTCATTTGTAGTTTACACACACAAGCATTTGTGTGACAAAGTTGGAGGCTGGGATTGCAAACGTGGCCTGTCTGATTGCTTGCCCCACTGGGGCCCTCCAGAAAAATGAGCTGTTTATCTCAGGAGGATAACCCAGTGAGTCAGGTTTTAAATTAATACTGTATTAAAAATAAACAAGTCTTTTACTGGTGACAGCAAGGGCAGAAGATGTTAGGTACATCCTGTGCTGCCAACTATTGAATATTCCTTCGTTCACTTGCAGGAGGAGGTTTTTCACATAACTTTTCTTAAAAATGGGATGCTTAAATGTAAAAGTGCCTGATGGATAACTATTTGATTTGAAAGGRTCTATTCTCTTTCCAGGTCCTGGTGTTGGAAATCTCACTTGTTTGTCTGATTTAAAAGGACTGAAAAAAAGGGATTGGGAACTCATAAGAGAGATCCTCGACTCCACATCAAAATTGGGACACTTTAATATTTTTCTGTGTGATCTCTCCTAAATTTATTTTCCTGTATTTCTAAACAGTTCCTACAGATTTATAAGAGCCTTTGAGTCCCACACAGGAGTGGCAAAGGCACCCTCAGACCCTTTTAGAAATTTGCAGGAAGCCCATGGGAATACTTTCTTGTTGATGGTCCCATCCGTTTCTTCGAGGACTATAAGAAGCAAGAAGATATTTACCTTCTGTTGCTGATAAACATTTGTGAGAGGAGCAACCTGACAGTCTTTGTGGGCACCAAAGATTTTGCACAAGGAGCAGGTGGGCATTTCACAGTTCAAACAGTAGATATTAATTCTCTCATCTTCATGCTCTTCACACATTGGCTGGTCACACTTCCTTTCGGGTCTGCAAAATAAAACAAATTTAAATATATAAAAATTTAAAATAAACACCACGCTAATGAGTTTTTGATAACAACACTTAGGTATTAGCATGAAATAAGGTACATTTGTATAGCAGCTTCCAAGGCTGACTGAATACACAGCATAGACTTAAACCTGCCACATGGGATGACAAAAGAGACAGTGGTACAGCTTAATGTATCACACAATATGATGTGATGACAATATAGCAACATGACTTCATATGGGGATTCCCAAGTGAATGAGGAATGTGACTGGGAGTGTGACAGAACCCTTGCTCATATTAAAAAATTTAAATAACCTTACTAAGCCTGGACTCAGACTACTCATGTATTTTAATTAGCATGTTATCTAACATCTGTCTGCAATATGATACATATGCAATTTCTTTCTGGTTCTTCATGCAAATTGTTGTGCACTTGGCTTAATGCAGCAAACCTCTCACGGAGGGAACTGATTTTAAGCAAGAGTTGTAGATACTGATGAACCTTTAGGCCTCTAACTCTTAATCTCTGCTGATGAGCTTTGTGAGGTCCTTGTCAGGACTTTCAATATCAAACAGCACTGAGTCATTATGGCCTTTACATTAGGCCAGCAACCAAAACAAGGTGTCGACGCAAATTAATTTCAGCCAGGTGGCACATGTCCAACTTTACAGTGTCAAGCTTTTTAGCAGTACTTTACTCAGCTGTACCCAGCACAAAGGGTATGGGCTACACAAATGTTCCTCTCCTGGAACTGTCCCTACATTATAGCTCCGTCTGCTCTTCCCTTCACCAAAACGATTTGCTATATACACACAAGTCTACACAGCCTCCTATTTTAGGAACTAATTTAGTTGTAGCTTCCTTCAAATGAGCCACTTAACTGACATTCCCAGTGCAAGTGACAGCTCTGGTCTGGTGTGTGTGGGCGGGGTGGTGCTTTCCTGAGCCCACACTTCAGGCTTAACACCCTGAGCACATCTGTGGCTAACACAAGTGTGTAAGGATGCGGTACAGAAGACAGGGGCCAGCAGACTGATGGAAAGAGTGTGTCTGAGGTTCAAGCCTTCAAAAGCCACCACTGCTACTGTGGAAATGTTAAATATTTTCAGCTTAAACCATTATCCCCTTCTGCTACTGTTTGGAAAGAGAGCTGACTTACCTGGAAAAATGGCATCCTATAAATATATTTTTTCATCATTAGAAACTATGGGATTTAATGAGTTACATGGGAACATTTTTAAAAGCCATTCTATGGAGCTCTGCAGCAAGGAGGCAACCAGTCATTCTATGAAAGCTTCAAATGTATGGAAAAAAATTATTTTGTATTATATTACAAAGTAGAGATTTTCCATACAGTTTGGTAGAGTGGATATAGCATTTATTTTTTAATGACAAAATACAGATTTTCTCTTTTGAAGGGAATAAAATACGATCAGTTAGATGCATTTAAAAAAAATCTAGCAACAAATAAAATGTCTCACACATTCATGTTTTTGTCTGTTTTTTTTTAAAATTCAAGAGTGCCCTGGGATTTAAAGGGTTCATAAGGAGAATCTGTAATCTGCCATATAACATGATATATTAGAATAAAAACAAGACTAACACTTCTGTAGAAGTTATGTCTGTGTTATTTGGGTCAGATTTCCAGCATTCATTAACATAGGGCACTCCATCAAATCCAGCATTGTTTCAATGCTTTGAGGTGTTTCACACCTCAAAAGAGGTGTGTCTCCTCCATAAAAAATGCTTTACATTGTTTGCAGATTACTGCAAACAGCCCCTAATATATTCACGTTATAGTGCACCAGTTAGGAGGGCCTGTGTGTGAGGGCAATGCAATTAATTTCAAAGTGATTAACTAAGCCTGAGATAGCASCCCTTCATGCAAATATTTACAAGACCAGAGCCAGAAACTACTAGAATTTTATTGGATGCTGGAATGGTGCCACGTGCATGAAAGACACATTGCAYGGAGCAAAAAGGTGACGGTGTCAAGCAAGTTCAGCCAGAAGCAGCCAACCTTCAAAGGTGCCGCAAAGAGCTGGAAGAAACCTGGCAGAACTCCCTGAACTAGTGGGGCCCTGAAGACTGTGTCAGAAGACTAGAAATAAACAGATTTACAGTCTCCTGCCCAGGCTGTGCAAAAGGTGAGASTTTTAGCACACCATTCCCTGACTTYTGWAGTGATTCYCTAGGTCTGTGTTGGGGTTTCAAAGGGCAAAACACAACCTCTGAGTTTAAAATGGACACTGCTYCTGAAACAGATTAAAGAATAGCTGATACGAAAATGACTGCATGGCTTTAGTAACAGAAAAGTTTCACCACAGCAGTGCTTTTKACTAGAGAAAGGTCAGGTTGCTGAAATGTCYTGATAACTTCATGGTCTCATTCTTRGACTGTTCTCTTTGAGATGCTAAGCCTGTGTTTTACTGCTAGAGGYTTATTCCTTCCCACTGAAATTGTGTTTGGACCACATCTGAAATACTGACTGGGTCCTGTTCTGGACTCCCCAGTATGTGAGAGACACTGGTAAACTGGAGAGAGTCCAGCAATGGGCCCTGAGGCTGATTAAAGGTCTACAGCAGCTGTTCTGTGAGAAAAGACTGAGAGAACCTGAGCTTTCAACCTGGATCAGAGATGGTTAAGGKGAATCTTAACAATGACCTTGATCTTATCGATACCTTCGGGTATCCAAATACCCGAATGGAGGGTAAAATGAGGATGGAGTCAGGCCCTTTTCAATGYCAGGACCCGAGGCAGTGGGCACAAACTGAAACATGGGAGGTACCTTCTGAACATCAGGGAACGCTCTTTTACTGTGAGAGAGACTGACACTGGCACAGGTTGGCCAGGATGGTTGTGGAATTTCCATCCTGGAAGATACTCAAAAGCCATCTGGACATGGTCCTGGGCAACTGGCTCCAGGTGGTCCTGCTTGAGTAGCAGATTGTTGGACCAGATGACCTCCAGACATTCTTTCCTATCTCAGCCATTCTGTGACTATGATTTGGTGAGGAAATGCAAAGTTTCTGGGTACATAAAGAAGCATACTTTCATTAAAAACATAGTAAAACCTTAGGAAAACTGCTTTTTGAAAGCATGTTTTCTGTAGGATTTTTTCAAATCCAGCAAGGTCTCTAATTAAAATCCTGAATGCAACTTTGATAGTGTTTTTACTGAGGATTCTAAGACAGCTGCAGCCATTCCTGTGCCATCACATCACCTGGTGTCTGCACCTGGATGGAGAGGATCTGTATCACTATGGGGCACAGTCAGGTCGTTAGTGAAGATATCTAGGTCAGGTCGTTAGTGAAGAAACTGCATTTGCCCCAGTATCAATCTTGGGCATACAGCGCTAATGACTGGCCTCCACTTGACTTGATGCTGCTCACCATGACACTTTGAGYCTGGTAGTACAGCCAGTTTTTGGTCCTGTTCATTTTCCACTGTCCACTCTAGACCTTATTTCAACAGTTATCAATAAAGATGCCACAGGAGACAATGTCTAAAGTCTAGATAAACAGTATCTACTGCTCTCCTCTCATGCAGTGAGTTAGTCATCTCACTGTGAAAGGCTATCAGGTTGGTCATGCTGATTTCCTCTTCATAAACCTGTGCTGACTATTTCTAATAATCTTCTTGTCATTTATATATTTAGAAATTGTTTCCAGGAGGGTTTGCATTAAATACTTTCTAGGCACCAGTGTGCCTGACCCGCCTGTAGTTCCCTGGATTCTCTTCCTTACATTCCTTGAAGACTGGAGGAACATTTGCTTTCTTCCAGGTTAGTCCACAGGAAACTGTTTCAATTACTACAGCCTTTCAAAGATCATTGAGAGTGACCTTGCAGTAATATCAGTCAGCTCCCTCACCACTTTTGGATGCCTCCCATCAGGATCCAATTTTTTTTAATATTCTCTAACCTGATCCCCCTCCACCAAAGGTGAGTTTTCCTTGCTCTAGACTTTGCCACTGGTGTCAGGGTACTACAGTCCCTTAAAACTGAACATATTAGTAAAGTCTGAGGTGAAGATGGCATTGAGTACATTGGCCTTTTCTAYGTCCTGTGCTACATGGGGCCCTACTCTGTTTAGCAGTGAACTCACACTTTCCCTAATCTCCCTRCTGCTGCTGATGCGGCTGTAGAAGCTCCTATTAACCTTCATGTCTCTAATCTGATTCAGTTCCAGGTGGTCTTTGGCTTTTCTAACTTCATGATGTGCTTGGAGTCTCTCAAAATCTTCCTGAGTCACCAGTCCATCTTCTTTTTGCTTCTTTGTAAAGGTTTTATTTTTACCAGGAATCATCTCTCAATCAACACAGGTATTTTGTCACTATTGTTTGAGTTCCTGTATATGGGGATAGACCATTTTTGACCTTGGAGGTGGTCCTTGAAAATCAGCCACAATGATGGACTCTCTGAAAAGCAGTGAAAAGCCCACCAATGCCCAGGGGTAGAAATGTTGCCTGAAAAATGAGAAGGCTATAGAAGTTCTTATGGACATAAGGATTCCTGAAAACTATCATGAATGCCTAGCTCAAGAAAACTATTGGTGCTGGTGAGCTTGGGGCTTTGTCTTGTGGGGATTTGGAGAAGGTGCAGGTGATCTGGCTCCTTATCTCTTTCACTGCATGGCATGTGGGGYTCCTCCTCGCTTGGTGACTGTGGTCAGGGAGCACATTTCCCAGGCCCATCCYATCTGAGATCCCCAGACATCCCTGCAGCCTGGCCTAGAGAGGTCCTGCCTAGGGAACTTGCCTGAGACCTTGGAGGTGTCAGGCACAGAGGCTTCTGGCAGTGCTGGCTACGGGGTCCTGCAGCATGTCAGCACCATCACCAGAGCCCATGCAGGCTGCTCCCAGCACAGCCTGGTCCCTGCTGCACACTCTGCTCTACCTGTGCTTGGGGCTGCAGGGACAGTCTGTTCCTCAGGCTCTTCCTGGTGGGTGCAAGGCAGAAAGAGTGCTTGACCCTCCCTGATCAGGATTCAGCTGGTAACAAAGCCCAAAGCACYTTTTCATCTGGAATAGCCAGTTGAGCTCATTAGAACCTGCCAGATCTTACAAAAAAWCACAGACTCCTGTTGCTATCCTTTCCTGGTGACAGCAGACATCCTGATGTTCCTCAGATAGTTTAGGTGATCAGTGGCCTGCAGAATTTCAAAGATAGATTTAATTTTGAGCCAACTCAATTTCCACTGTTTTCATTCCTTTGCTGTCTTTTAAAGCTTTGTGTGAGCCACCTCCTGCTTGAAGAATTCTTCCCTTGTGTTGCTAACACTTTCTAAATTGGGCAACAGGCTATGCTGCCATCAGCTGGAATTTGACGAGCAATGGGATAAAAGACCATATGATGTGATACTTAGTAATAGGAGGGGCTGCATATGAGGGYTCAGGCGGACTCTCCCAACCTCAGAGTCCAGCTCCTGCCCCAGTTTTTATTTAAAAAAACCCAATTCCTTAATTCAAATAGAAATTCAATTACAATCCAAAAAAAAAAAAACCCAAACCTTTTGAAATAAGCTATTTTTTCCTAAGCAGGAGCCAAAGCTTGCTCCCTTTACTGTTCAGTTCATGTGAAACACAGATGGGAGCTGGCATCATTGTGGCACATGCAGTTAYAGTGAATTATCCCCACAGGAGAACTCAAGGGGAAGAGGTTCCTGTCTGGAGATCACAGGTGCTGCCAGTTTGAAGGGTTCTCTTGCGAAGAACAAGGAGAAGATCACATCCCAACCTTCTTCCTACATATCTCTGCCAGACCCTAGTTGTCAGTATAGAAGACACTRGTACAAAAAGAACAAGTGGGGAAGATTTGATTTCCCCTGACTTTTTGCTTTCAGTGGGGCAGCACGGGAAAAGCCATGAAAGATCKGCTCACATTCTCAGGGGAGCCCAAGGAATGTTAGGCAGAGGGAGATAAGCAGCTGAGGCCCACAAAGGGCCAAATAATTTAGATAATGCTGCTATGCATTGCTGCTACTACATAACCCTGACAATAGCTSTCATTCTAAGGACAAACATGAAGGTTAAATAAGCACCTTAACAGATTAAATTAACAAATCTTTTTGCCAAGTATATAAGCAAATATATGTTCATATTTTATATTTTTTTTTCTATTCTCCCATTTTATTTATCATGTGTTTTACTTCTGTGGTATTAAAAAAAAAAACATATTAAATTTATTCTTACATTTCTGTTTAACTGTATTTGGTTCCAATTGCCCATGAACTACATGGGGAAAAGGAGCTGCATTTCCTTTTTTTTCTGAGGTATGTACAACTGTGAGCTGAAAAAAAGCAAAGCCAAGGAAGACATGAGGCAACACATGTCCAGCTTATTTGATCAAAAGCAAAGTCCACTTTGTTGATTCATTTCCTCTGRGATTTTCTGGACTAAAATAATATTTGAGTATGAATGACACACACAGGGGTAGCTGACCTTTACTTGGCACTGAGCGCAAAGGGCAGCAGAAAGGACAATTTTAAGCCAACTTCGTGCTCTCCAGTGCTTTGGAGCTCCAGCCTATGCCCAGCTGCAACAGTCCTCAGAGAGATTGAAACAGCTGAGAATAGCCAAAGCCACTATCAGGCTCCAAAACGTTCTCTCTGCTTGTGACTGTCCTCCTCTGCTGTAAGAGGTCTCCTCAGCCATCCTGGGAACTGGGTTCTGATGGTTGTGTCCACCTGTGCCAGTGATGCCATCTCACTGTGCCTGGGAAACTCAGCTCCTTGTTGCAGTGGGATCAGAAGACTGTCAGGGGTCATGGCCAGGATTATACCTTTCAAGTGAACAAAACACCTTGCCATACAAAACCAACCCTAAGGATCCACGCTGCTGACAAAAACCAGCTTCCTTGGGTCAGAGGTCCTTGCTTGGTTGCCTGTGGCTAGGTTAACTTAATCATAGAATCAGAGAATTATAGAATGGTTTGGGGTGGAAAGGACCTGAGAGATCATCTAGTTCCAACACCCCTACCTTGGGCAGGGACATCTTCCACCAGACCAGGCTGTGYGAAGCCMCATCCATCCTGGCCTTGAACACTGCCAGGGATGGAGCATCCACAGCCTCTCTGGGAAACCTGTGCCAGTCCCTCACCACCCWCACAGTGAAGAATTTCTTTCTATATCCAAACTAAACCTACACTCTTTCAGTTTAAAGCCATTGCCCCTTGTCCWATCACCACACGCCCTTGTCAAAAGCCCCTCTCCTGTCCTCTTGTAGGCCCCCTTTAGGCACTGGAAGGTGCACTAAGATCTCCCCAGACCCTTCTCCAGGTTGAACAACCCCAATTCTTTCATAGGAGGGATGTTCCAGACCTCTGAACATCTTTGTGTCCCTCCTCTGAAGTCACTGTGGCAAGCCCATGTCCTTCTTGTGCTGAGGATCCCAGAGCTGAATGCAGCACTCCAGGTGGGATCTCATGAGAGAGAGACCTTCACCTTCCCCTTTTCTAAGCTCTCAGTTGTACCATGTATCCAACCCATCCCAGGGAAATAAAGATGAGAAAACATTTTTCTGTTTCTGGATCCATTACATATCAAATGCAAGAAATTACCATTCAGGAGTAATCTTACTTTTTAAGATTAACCCATTCCTCTGCCCTGAGATTTGATTATTGTGCACTGCCACACAGCTCTGATCCAYACTGTTTCTGCTATTCTTTCTCTTTTACGGACTCCTAAATAAGACTTGATTTCATGAGTTCCCAAGCTGACAGCAATGGAGATATTTTTAACGGAATTTTCATTTGACATTATGATGCAGGGTACCTTWTGTGTAAAATTCAGTTTTCTTCTTGTTTGCACTGTCTGTACCTCAGGATCTTCTAACAAGATTTGAAATGCTTTCCCTTGTTTAGCATGAGAATGCATAAGTTAAAGACAAATAAGAATTGTCTGAACTGTTTTTGCAATAAATGATGTTAACCAAGATACATTTCCCTTACTCCCTCACGTGAATAGCTGTGCTGATCTCGAGGGCATTCCTTGCACAGGTGTTGCTTATATAAATAAGCATGGTCCAATCCTCTGCTGCAAGTGGAAACAGGGAAGCTCAGCATCTTTTTGAATAGTTTTCTGTGCTCAGTGAGAGCTGACTTCACCCTGCAGCAGACCGTCAGGCATGGCAGCAYGATCCCTTCCTGCTTTTCCAAGAGACAAAACAACTAAAACAACCTCACGTGCGCCAAGTGGAAAGACCAAAGGGTTAGTCTCCTAAGCTGTGTCTGCTTTTTTGGCAAACACCCTCYGAAGGACATTTGTTACCTTGTGGACTCCTGCTTGTAGATGTCGATGATGTTCTCCACCAGCAGGTTTCTCTGCAGCCCGTAGACACCGTGTCGGTCCAGGACCACCTCGTGCCTGCAGGAGGGACAGCGGAAGCGGCCTCCCGACGCCACAGTTGTACCTCCCCGGGTCGGCAGGTAGGGGTTGGAGGCCTGTTCTTGCCAAGCAACACAGGGGGGTACAGCCATGAAGAACCAYGAAAGCCTCTTCCAAAAGCACCATATGGTAGGAAACCATTTGTCACTCTGCCCGATGAAAGGGTAATTCTGACATGCCACCCCTGGGAAAGCACCTGGTGACTGCTGGGCAAGGGGCCAGTCCCTCAGCTCACACTCAGCCATGTCACCACAGCCAACAGGTGGCACTTTCACCTGTTGTGAGCTCAGCCCTGGCCCCCCAATACATCAACTTTGGCCTTAAATCAATCGCCCCACCCTGGCTCACCAACTCTTAAAATTAATCTACCAAAACATGTAAAAAACTTACTTTCCCATTCATTCTAACCAGTGCTGCTTGGGAAGCAGAGCTCTCTGATAAAAGGAACCTACCTGGAAGATGTCACTGGCACACTTGCGACAGAGGTTGTGCTGGCAGGGCAGGATGACCACCGGCTTGGTGAACATCTCCAGGCAGATGGGGCAGATGAGCTGTTTCTCCAGGTTATCCATGGTTTGCTGCTCTTTGGAGAATGATTTGTAGCTCAGGGAGGTGCTCATCCCTAGCTTTTCCTGGGGCATACGCTCAGGGCCACGGCCTTGTGGAGAGGTTTTGGGGTTAATTTCCCTTGAAATAAGTCCGAGGCTGTGCTGTAGTCAGAGGCTGTCTGGGTTGCTCAGGCTGGAGGACATTGTTTGAACGAGGGGCCGAGCAGAGCCGGGGCTGTTTTTAGCAGTGCTGCGTCACGAGCTGCCGTCCTGCCGTGCCCATATATGCGCGTGAGAGCAGGACAGGCTGGGACAGGTGACAGCTCCCGGGGGAGGGGGGGAGGCCAGAGAGGCCCTGGCTCTCCTCACTCACACATGGCAGCCTTCACCCCTTGAGAAGTYGGGAGAGTGATAAGCAAAGGCCATCCGCTCCCTTTCCTTATCTTTGCAGGTCAATGGAGAGCGCAGGGCAGCCCCAGCCTGCGCAGCCACATGATGCAGCCCAATGAATGCTCTGTTGGGAGCCAGCAGCCGTGGCCGTGAGAGGCAGGATGTAATTTTGCCTATGTTAATAATTTTGGCAGGCTCCAGGATCCTACCTTTCCAAGGTGTGAAGTACACATGGTTACTGGAGAAGGCAATAKGAGTGACGGCTGCTGTGGGGCTTGAATATTTCAGGATGTAAACATCTCACCACCTTAAAATCCAGACAAACAAAATTGCCTGCCTATAACTGTGCTTAAGTTTCTGCTGGTAAGATTTTGGTCTTAAAAGCTGTAACATAAAAATCTAACATGACTATTCATGCCATTAACTCTATGGGCAGGTTAAATATGCATGAAAAATACTGGATTTCCTGATGAGAAAGAAACAGAAAAAATATAGTGTGAAAGGCTTTCATTTGTGCTGCTAGAGAATAGGTCCTAATTGTGTATGCTCTCTCTCTGGATAGTTTAATTCAAATATATTTTCGTTTTGGGCACTGCTGTGTTTATATCTGTTTATTAGACACTGATATCCCTTTCAGCTTGGCACTTGTTCCAGAGTTATTTTTAAAATGACAATTTCCCAGATAATTTGTGACATGTGATGCCTGATCTTAAGGGAAAGCCATCTGTGCTTCTACTTGCCAATAATTTATCACACAACTGTACAAGCAATAAATATCTCAAATTTAAGCCAAAGTCCTTGCACATTACTGTATAAAATCACTTTGCCACCATACTGTACATGTAACCAGAATATGTTCTTCTCTTTTAATCAATATCTACAATATATTCTCTGTTAAGTGTCTTGTAGAAACTTCTAATGTTTATTCTGCCTAATGACTGTATAGAGTTTGCATCTGAAGAATGCAGTAGAGCAGCTGAGTGAGTGCCCTACACATCCAGGAGTAGACCCCAGTGCTAAGGCAGGGCCCTCAGTCTGCACACAACACCTGTCTGGAAGCTGTGCACTTCAGAAAAACATGAAAGTGAAGGTTTTCATTGATTTCTGCATGAAAATGAATATAGTTCTCTGCATGCCGTTGTAATAAATAACATTAAATTAAATGTGGTTATTGGGTATTTTATTTTCAGTGCCTCACAGGCTGCTTAAGTGTTTGAGTAAACTCCTGTACTCATTTGCAGCCTACCGAGCTGGAAATTCCCCTGGGTAAACTTACACACATTTGTCAGCAGTCCCATAAAAACAAATCGATTTTTCTAAGTCTTGCRTTCATGGGAAATTAGCAATAGCTTAGTTAAACCCATTTGAAATCACACCTTTGCTTCACTGCCTGGTGTGGACAAGAGCCTGGAGTCCAGTGGGAGAAGCTGCTCTGGCAGCTGAGCTGCGGACAGCTGGGACTTTGGCAGGGCTGGCAGGGAGCCTGCCCTGGCAGCAGCGAGGAGATATTTCTCTTCTTTCCCTCCCCTCCATGGCTGGTTCAGAGGTGACTTTTGCATCTGGAGGAATCTGAATGTCTCATTCTTGCCCTCCTAACTTTGAGTCAGCTGCCCCTTGCACAGCAAAACCTGCTTCAATACGGGGCTCTGAATGAGGAACGCTGTCCTCACCTGGCAGGRCAGGAACTTCCACCTCTCTGCACAGGCAGAAACACAAATTCTGGAGGGAAAAGCTGAAGGTTAGAAATGTCAGCACACAAAAACATCTGCAGATGCTGATGACGGGAATGGGGTGTTCATGGCATGAAAAAAAGGCTATGCTGCCCCTCTGGAGAATGAACTGAGGCATCTCTCTGGGATGTGATTCTGGTGAATTTATACCTACCTGGGGTAACCCCCAGAAGTAAACAGGCTGAGTGGGACATCTGATTCATCTGCAGAGGACATTGGGTGGCAACAAGGTGAGGGACAGCATGCTGCTGGTTTTCACCTTTCTGTGTGCTGAAGCATGTTAACATGGAACAGGTAGTGAACAGCACAACCAAAAAGAGGAGTCAACAAAAAAAAGGTAAAATCCACTTTTTGCAACCAGGCCTGAGCTGAAATATTTTTCTGGCAGGAATAGGTATTTAGTCCAGACGTGAAAAATGAGTACAGGTTTTTCTGACAAGGTATTATGAACCACAGCARTAAATTATAAGTAAAGAAATGCAGAGGCTTGACCACACTTGCAAAGGCAGGATGAGAAGTGCCAGGAAAGMCACACATTGTGTGACCACTCTGTAACAAGGAGGAAGAGAAGAGCGACATCCAAGACACTGAGGAGAAACAGGAAGATSCTGAAGCTGGTCTGCAGAAGGGTCTACTTAGGATGAGCTTCAAAGAATTCATACGGAGAAAGAGCCTGGCAACCCTGTCCCCCTCCTCTTCCTCCCCTTCCACTTCTGCAAGGGAAGAGCACCAACACACACAGCTGCCCACCTCTGAAGAGTCACTAAGTCAAGCCATCTCTCAAGGGACATATAAAGGGCAAGAGAGGGGACCCTCCTCCTGAACAGAAACTCTGAATGTCTGYCAGCCATCACCAAGAAGAAATAAATTTTTTTTCAGTATTGTTTGCCTGGGAGTGTTATCTGGCTTTGTTGTCACAAGTAGAACWCTAATTCCTAAAGGTAGGCTTACTTGTAAAGACATTAATTCTAACGCCTTTATTTTGCAGCCAAATAACAGCTTGCAGCCTGGAACCTGGAAAGCTGGCTGCAAAGCACTGGGTTTAGGAGAGGGATTTGGAGGAGGAAGGAGAGGTTGAGTGATGTCCAGGTTCACGTTTCAATACCATAATGACATCTCTGGGGTTTGCATTCACAGAATTCCCCTCTGCAACCTCTTATCTTGTACCAGCGCTGTGAAGCTCTTGTCTGTCACTCAGAAAATCAGCCCTGTGGCTCTCTTGCATGACTGGAAAACAAAGAGAAAAATCATATTTTGGCCAGAGGATGCTGTCAAAATATGCTCCCACTCGACTTGCTTCCCCAATGARCCTGCAGAGAGAAGTCCACTCCGCCAGGAGCAGGGTCCTTGTTCAGGCATCCTGTCCTGGACACGGGGGGTGGGGAGAAGCATTCTGGCCCACGGGGTGACAGTGCCTTGGCCTCCTGCCACCCCACCTTGTGCCTCTCCTGGGAGATGAGCAAACACCTCAYCACCCAGCCCAGGGGTGGGCAGAGCTCTGCACTGGCAGCTGTCTAAAGCAGACGGGCGCTGCCCACCATTCCCTGGGCAGGGATCAACATCAACCCCACCCCACTGCCTCCAGCAGCTCACACACTCCTGGGGCTGGTGAGACTCACCTGAAGACCTTCCACAACAGCCCAGCTGCTGGAAGAGGACAGGGCTGGTGGGTACCTGAGCAACACAACATCCTAGCAAAAATGAGGTTGCTGTTTCCAATTCTGCTCACCCAAAATGTGAGACTAATGGTAAAGTGATGATGCATCCTTCCCCTCTTCCCATACTGCTAACTCTGCTTGTTGTTCTGGCTGAAAAGATTTGCATTTTTAGCCAAGCATCCCTCGGGRAGACTAGGGGAGGCTCTCCAGGTCTCACCTTTTGTCTGTGCCCATTTACCCTGCCGTGAACAATCCCTCAGGAGCAGGTGGCGAGCACCGGCATTCCCACCTACAGCCAGCATGTTGCAGAGACTCAAATTTCACTTACATTGACAACAACTTACTGAGACGACAAGCCAGCTATAAGATGAAGCCCTCCTACCTATACAAGTGCMAACTGAAAACGGTATTTTGCATTTCATGCTTTTATTGTGATCAAGATACACTCCGTGATAAATACTGAGACTACCCCTGTGTGGAACTCAATTTATGTAGACGAAGAGAGCCTTTGCAACAGAGACAACTGCTTTCAAAAACAGTTGCCTTTTGAGACTGACATTTTTTCCATTCAACACACATATATATATATGTATGTATTTGTGTACCTCATATGTGATGACAGGCCATATGCGGTCAGTATTTGGAGACCTTCTAAAAACAGTCTGAGGGTTGGTTTCAGATCTCCAGGAAAACAAAGACCAGCACAGGAGATAATGACATCTCYAGAAAGTTCCTTTTGCACATATGAAATCACAGCAGAAGAGGAAAGCTCAAAGCATTTCCARGGGTGAGTCACTGGGAGCACATCAAATGTACAGGACATGAGATTTCAGGGACAAGCTACAAAGACCAGACAGAGGGATGATGTCTGTCCTTTTCTTTTGAATAGAGGATGGACACTGCCCTGAGCTGAACTGTGCTCAAAAGCAGCCTTCTCTGGGCTTATCTGTGCTCAAGGACCTTTCACAGTTTGCAGCAAACCTGTAGAAATATGGGATAAAAGGGCATATGAACTAGATAATAACTTCTGTTCCAAATTTATCAGTGGAACCAACATAAATTATAACAGACAAACCTTAGAGATTTGGATTAAAAGATCCTGCAACAGTGAGAGTCTGTGGACAAACTGGATCAAGGACTCATTCCTGCAGGCTTTGGTTCTGCCATCATCGTGACACCGAGACATGGGGTCATTGCCCAAGCTGTGTGCCTAAGTGAAGGAGGATCCTTTGACTTCCTTCTGCCCTCCAGCAGTGCCAGCAAGGCAGCATGAACCTCTCACCAAGCTTTAGGGGACACGGGGAAACAATGCCCTCCCAAAAGTAAGTCCTGGTTTTCTCAGAGTCCTCAAGGTCAAGGTAAGAAATGGTGG